CGGGTCGGGTTGGGTAGGGTCCAATCCTTTCCGGGTATAATGGTTGATTATTGAGAGATTGATGCAATAATAATTGCAAGAGAGCCCTTTTAGTTTTGGTTCTGAACATTGACCTCGACAAATTCAAGAGTCGAAGTCTAAAAAGTAATTGTAATTTGGTCTTCTTGACCTTTTATTTGTTAGTGCTATTGTTCTACCTTAAGGTTTAAGAACTTTGATGTGGAGTACTACTTTCTACATTATGCAAATAAGATAAAATTGAATTAAGAAAGAAAGCATTGACATTTGGCATCAAAAATAACAAACGAAGTGGTGCAAAATTATTCTTTTGACTCCTAAGTCTCCAATTAATGGTATTTGTTTCAAGGGTTAATATGCAACTATGGAATATTTGGGGTCTAATTTCAAAAAAGGAAAATCGATTGAAATTTAAATTTTCATTTTGTTCTTTTTCAAAAGGATATTATATTCACACAACAATTTTTAATTGCACTTAAGAGCCACATATTTTACTCAGTGTAACACTTGTGTTCCCTTACTCCGATTGGAATTTTAAACTATTACTGCAAGCACGTCCACCACTTATGGCATAGCAAATTGTAGATATACCTATTTGTATGGATGTCCAAATCAGATTATGTAGAGGGATACATTGGATGGTAGTTTTACTATCAAGTCCGCGTGGCAGTTAAACTTGATCGGGTAACTCCTCTCGGAACTCATATTGGTTAATGTAGAGTTCTATTATACCCGCGATGATTTTCCTTTTTCTGCTTGAGACCTTGGCTGGACTTGGAATCAATTGATGTGATTCTTCATGGGTTTTTGGCTACCAATTGGCCTCTTGTTGTCAACGATGTTTGAAGGTCGAGACTATTCCATATTTATTCACGAGCGGTGCTATATCTGACAAAGTATGAAGATACTTTGGAGATATATTTTCAAGTACATATATGGTTAGGCAAGGGAGTACAACATCGGCTTCAGCGATGGGGATATTTCAATAAGTATGTTCGTTGTGGTCATATTCGAACTATCATTTCTCTGTTGATCTTCTAGTTTCTATGGTCTACGATGAATGATGTGAAGCACTGAGATATTTGTATGGAGCCTAGAGGATCATTTGGACTTTGGAGGGTCTTTTCCGCAGTTCCACTTCCACATATGGATGTCTATTTCGACATCTACATTAGCGTAGGGATATAGCTATCGTCCCACTTTTTAGTGTTTCTTTAACTCTTTCTCCCTCATCACCCCTATATTGGTTCTTTGACAAACTTCACAGGTATGATCACACGAGATCAATACCGATGGATGTATCGAGATGGATTTGCCAGTGGTGCAGAATTGTACGAGACCAGATTCAGCAGTGTATGTGAGCATTCTTCTTTCATTTAGGAAGTGTCTTATTCTCGAGATTGGGTTACATGCTATTTTAGAGGGGATCTTGTTAGACAACTCAGGTCATGAGATCCTTCGGTGGAGACAACTCGATCTTCATCGTTGGCTACATCACTCGAGGTGCAAAATCATAGACTATCCAATATACCCTCAGATGCATTTAACGTCAGCTCTCTTTTGATAGAGATCCAATTTTCCACATCTACCAAAAGGGAAAATCAGGTTATCGATTCACTTCTATCAAAGAGTTGAGATATGGATGTCAAATGGGCCGAGTAGAAGGGGCTCTATCCCACAAGCCGAGCTTGCTCGGCTCATCGAGCGAGCTCGTCAAAAAATATGTAAATTTTAAAAAAAAGTCAAAAAATGTGCAAACAAAAATATTAAAATTAAAAAAATCATGAGGTCGCGAGCAGCTCGTGGGTCGAGCTGAGCTCGAGCTCGAGCTCAACTCATCTTTCACGAGCCACGAGCTAGACTCGACTAGACCCATTGCCATCTCTAGGTTGGGACTATCGCCATTACCAAGATATAAATCTCTTGACCTTTCTCGCCAGATAGTGCTCATATTCATATAGACATAGCCTTCCCAGCTTTAAAGGTCACTAGTAGTAAGCACATGCATTTACACGTTTTATGTGCGAAATGAATAATATAAAATATTTTTAAAATAAGGCAATTGATAATGTTAAAAGAAAAAATTAAATTGTTAAAAAATATGCACATAAATAAAAGTTTTATGAAAATTATGTACATAAAGTGAAAATGATGAATAAATTGAAATGTAATGATTTGTTTATGCTAGACTTTGGTCGGACCCTTATTTTCAACCATTACGACGACATCGATCATTTTTGTGATACAGACAAACACAAAGAAAAATCAAATTAAAAAATGTACATTTGATTAAGTTTAAAATGTTTACGTAGAAGTAAACTCAAGGCTCAAATTAAAAAATTACTCATTTTGTTTGTATCATAAAATTTTTTACCTAAAAAATAAAAACCAAAAATTATTTTATCTAAACATATTTAAAAATAAAAAATTACATATTAATCATTCTCGCCATATCAATCCATAGAATTTTTTTTAAATTAGAAACCAAAGTTACATTCAAAATAGATGTCGAAGTGAAAAATTTTTGACAAAGTTTTCCTTCTCTTTTGAATGGGATCAATACGAATGGATGAATAAAAATTATTCATTTAAATGTACCGAGATAAATAATAATAATAAATCTTTTCTTTATATATTTATATCTAATACCATCATTTTTATGCCTATACAAAAATGAACACACAATAATAAATACCCAATACTATATTAATTTCTATTAATATTTAAAAAATTTGGATTTAGTGAAAATGTGTAACTGAGATGCAAAGCTTGTATATAGTGTGTGGATACAAATATAGGAAGTGTAAGTAACTACTCCTAATTATTAGGAGTAATTAGTAAGATTTTTAAGATTGATGGATCATGTCTCCCATCATCAATTATTTCCCTCCTAATTGTTGATCACTTTAAGCAAATTTTCTTTTCAATGTTGATTTTAATTGAAGCTCAAGTATATATATATATATATATATACACATGTACGTATAAAATAACATTATAATATATTAAAGATGGCACTAATGATAGATTAATTAAAATTTAATTTCATGTAGTCTCATTTTAAATGTAGAGTTCATTTTTCATATTGGAGTACTCATAATTTAAGATTAACTAAATTAAGTTTAATCGCTTAAAATCAAAGCTCGTCTACATATGTAATCATATTAAAAATATAATAAATATTATTTTACATGATAATTAATCTAACATTATATTAATGTAACCTTTAATATATTTTATTATATAATTATAATAAAATTATATCTATACGTGGGCTTAGATTTTAAGTGGTAAACTTAATTTAAATAATGTAATTTAGGTAATTAAACTTAATTAGATTAATGTAAAATTTTTAGTACTCTAATATAAAACAATAAGTATTACACTTTAATGGATATTAAATGAAGTTAAATTATATTAAATTATACTATATTAAATATATAAGGGTAGAATTGACTATAACTAAAAATATAAGGGAATTTTATTAAGAACATTAATTCAATTTATTCAACATGATATTGAAAATGGGCGTTGTTTAAGTAACTCAAATAATGACCCTAAATTCTCATTTGATATTAAAATAATTTTTATTTTAATATGATTAATAGCATTAATTCAAAATGAAATTGAAAAATGGGTGTTAAGGAGCTCAAATGATGGCCTTAAATAACCATTTATAGATATTAAAAAAATTAATTTAATTAATAGCAAATATTTTTTTAATTTAATTAATAGAATTACACTTAAATGGATATTAAATTAAGTTAAATTATATTAAATGGTACTATATTAAATATACAAGGGTAGAATTGACATGTAGCTAAATAAGTAAGGGTAAAATTGGTATTCAAAAGTTTCTACTCAATCCGCACTTTTAATATATTGTAAATAAATTAAAAAAAATTATGCTTTATCTTTATATGGAAAGTAATACTTTCCTATTTATTTCCTTTTTTATATGTTAAATTCTTTTATTTTCAGGGTCGGATATATGTCCCTCTATTTTTTATTCTTGTGAGTTTGATTTATTATATGTTTGGAGAATCCTAACACCGTTAGCCTTTTTTGATGGATCATGAAGAATTATTAAGGTTATGTTGGTGTTTTGCTTAAAAAAAATGTCTATAACTTTTTTCTGCGTAATAATATCATCTACCATATATTGTCTTTGATAATCCTCTTTTATCCAAAAATTTCATTGAACGTGCAATTTATTATTTACTCATTCATATCTCTAAAAATGAATAAATACAAAAGTCCAACAAAAATAATTTTTTCCTCATTTTAAAGTACACAAACAGAAAATATTTTGACCTAAATCATCATCTTTTAGATGAGATATGTCAATTAATAAAATGTTGAAGATAAGATATCGATGAAAAAGGTCAAGGTCATAAAATCATAAAAAGAACAAAGAGTGGGTGTCTTATGTTCAATTAAAATGTGGTGCAATTTTTTTTAAAAAATTGCGGTGTTTAATATAATCACCCTATTAAAAATGACCACTTTTAAAAGATTTGGATAAAACACCGTCAATTTTAACTAAAGTTCCCCTAAGAAGAATCCCATATTTCATCGAAATTCTTATTAAGAGTTGAACTAAAATAATCCTAAAAAGTAACCAAAATTCCAAGTAAATTTTGTTACATACTGAAATAGTTATGGTTTATTTAGATTCCACGTCGATGACAAAAGGTCTCGTTGCATGCTCCTATATTTTTGTACACTTGTACTTTCACCATCAAGGCCCTAGTTCACGCAATGTACATT